AACATGAGCACTGTTCGTTCGTGTTCGATTCGTTTGCACCCCTAGCTGAAAGTGCTGCACCGTTAACTTTATATAGCCATGGTAATGGGGTATTCGGCTGCAAGTAGTATTAAATTCCTAAATTGTTAATCCGTTAAATTTGTCCTTTGATTAGGTTTATTAAATCATGATTTAAATTGAATTGAAATTAAAATTGAGCTCTTAAATTTGAAATTTTATAAATTTACTGCATTTTTAATATTTGATTGGATTTCATAAGTCTGCATTCCAAAACACCCCCTAAAGATTTTCATTTTGTATATAAATTGAGAGCTCTTTATTTGAAATTATTTTTGCAATGATAATATCTTGCATGTTTTAATGATATTACAAAAGCTTAAAGAAATTGATTGTTGAAAGCTTGAAATTTCTCTATTCCAAGTCTCTCTCCATGATCATTTACTCAAATCTTTATTATGAACTCTCTCAAATAAAATAAGATTTCTATTTATATTTTTAATTATAGAAGTCTATTTTACTTAAGTTGGATTTAGTAATTTATATAGTTTTAGATTTAATAAATAATGAAATAGTTAAATTTAAAAAGCTATTCAACATGATGTAAATTAAATATGATTAAATCCTGATAAAAGAATTGGCTATTTATTTCAAAATTCAAACTAGCAATTAAAAAAATCAACATTATTTATTAATGTACAACTAACAATTGTAATTTAATTTTTTTTATTATTTTTAAATATAATTATTATTCTTATTATATTAAACTAATTATTAATTAGAGTTTTTAAAACTAATTGATTAAGTATTTTACTATTTATTACTTAAAATAAGAAAATATCTTAATTAATCACTAAATAATGATTTATTAAGCTAATTAAATAATAATTTATCTTATTCTACTTAATTAGAATAATAGTAATTTAATTAGGTTAATACTTTTTAATTTACTTGTATTAATCATGAATAATGGTTTAAACTTTAAAAAATGTAATTATACTAATTAAGTTATAATTACATTAGTATAATACTTTAATTAATTTTTATAAAATTTTATAAATTTAAGTAAATATTAAATTTTAATTAAATAGTTAAGTTATAAATAATATTAATTTACTTAAATATTATTTTAATTAATTAAATGCAATGCACCAACTGCCCGCAAATATGCATTTTTCTCTCCCTTCATTCCCCTTATACTAAAATTACACGTCTAAAAGTGAAGCATGGTAGTCATTGTGGTACTTTATTGCTTGCATAAAAAGGATCATGGCGGCATGCTTGAAAGAATGGTCTTTCTCACCCTTATTCTCTAATTCCACGAGCCAATGTGTTTAGTATTTTGATTCTTGTAAATATTCTTAGCTTATTTAGTTTAAAAATGATAAAATTAAGTGTAGATTTTGAAATATAAACAATTACAAGTGCATGTTGAAATTTTAGAATCTAAAAATAACTATTAGTTTAAAATAAATGGAAAACTCAACGTAATTATGTCTCAAACTAACAAATTAACCTAGACATATGAAGAAAGTTCACACTTAAAGAATAGGAACATGGATAAGAGGACCAATCAAGTAGTATAAAAGTATGTTGTAATGAGTCCTTAGGTTTACTTTTTTGTTATGTTCCGCTTAAAAATTAATTTGAAACAACTAGCATGCACATACACACACGAGCGAATATAAAATTGAAACTAATTCAAAATTATTAATTAATTTAAATTGATCTTAATAAGATGAATTTAGGGTGATTTGTGATTGGATAAAAGTTCGTTAATTCAATAAATTCTATCGAATAGATGAAACTTCACCAAAAGACCACATGTTAATTGCATGTGATGTTGAAAGAAATGATTGTATGGTATAAGATGAGTGGCAGAGTTGATAATTGACCGGCGACTTTATATATGTTTAAAAATATTAGATAAATATGGACGTAATAAATA